AATATACCTCCTCTAAGGATAGCAGCCCGATGTTCTTCGACATGGACATTTTTTTTTAAGTTTCTGATAGCAAAAATATATTCATATAAAAATTGCGTTAATAAATTTACTGTATCCTTGTTTTTATCACTCTTTTATGTTTATTTGGGCTGCAAGCACTATACTTAATTATGTACTTGTAGAAGAACATTGGGTGCTTAAGCTACTCTCCTTAAATTATCCTTGGGCGCTAGGAGGTTACATTAAATATTTATTGGAAAATCTTTTTGAAATAACTAGTATTATCAATATAGAGGCCGAATCTATAGTTTTTAGTATTTTTGTCTGTCTGTCTGTCACCGCATCACAGAAAAACTACTGGAGGGATTTTGACGAAATTTGGTATGGCACTAGCTGGTTATCCGGGTCAACATATAGGATACTTTTTACCTTGGGAAAATGTATAATTTCTGAGAAAAAATACAAAAACTACAATGTAGGAGTATACTAATATGTAAAACCTAAGAATTCGGTTTTTGGTCATTTGAACGCGGGCGGAGCCGCGGGCAATTCTAGTTTTAACATAAAAAACAAAACTTCATTGATATTTTAAGTTTTATACTTACATGAAATACTATTCTTACACTTGAAAAAACCTTATTTATGTATTTTTTGTTATTTTTTACTATTCGCGGGAATAATAACATGCCCGTACTATCCAAAGAGAATATAACCACTACGTTTGTATTATCTTTAATGGTGCCTCGATCATTAATAAAAAAAAATATTAAGGAAGATACTATGGCGTACCGAAAATACACTGTGGAAATACCTAAAAACGAATATATTATAGAGGTGAATGTAGGTAGACTGATGAGTGCATTTCGGAGGAGCTTTTTTAGGGTCCCGTACAAGAAGGGTGCCAAAGGAACCCTATTACTATGCGTCCTCTGCCCGTCCATCCGTCTGTCAGAGGGCTGCGCTCACCGTAATAGGTAGAGAGTACAAATTTTCACAGAGTATATATTTCTATTGCCGCTACAACAACATATAATAAAAATACAAGAAATATTTTTAATGTTCGTGATCGATCATCGAAGTTAATATTATAATACTATATACATACAGAGTAAAACTTATATTAATAAAAAGTACATGTAAGTCGGTACGATATTACGGAACCATCAACGTACGACAGGTGGCTCGTTATTGCTTAATTTAGGACTTATTAGTTAAATATTACAGTTACAGTTAGTACAAAATAGTAGCTAGTAACAAATTTGAATCGCAATATGATACTTGTATAAATTAAATCAATTCAGACGCAGGAACAACGGCTTTACTTGTTCACCGAGGCACGATGGTGAAACATCGCCAACTTCCCAACTCCGGACTGTTACTGAATAGCAATTCAAATTAATATCTTAATTTATAAATGTAGCAATAATGTTGCTAAATGATTTCATTTTAAATATGTAATACCAAATCAAATTAATATTTATTAACTTTTTTTTTATTGTACCTAGAACAATAGTACCTAATTTTAGAATTGCCTTTAGTCTGAATTGGCGAATCTTAGGAAAAAATTGTAATAAAAACTTGTAGATAGTTTGCATAATCTACATCACAAAAACTAATTGACAAGGTGTCTTTCCTGCATCATAAAGTCAATCAACGAGAAGCTAAGATCTGGGGAGTTCAATTAAATAACATTTAAATGCACATTACTTTAATATAAATATTTAAATTAAATACTTAGACATTAAACAATTTTACCAACAATATACACATCAAATAAACTCTAAGACTAAAAAACGATAAAATGATTATTTTTACATATTCAAATAACAATTTAAGAACTACATATTAAGCTTTGAAACGACATTCAATATTCACCATGTTAATATTATAAATATATCAAAGTTTGAAGCCGTCGAAATATAGGTATGATAGTGAAATATAGTTACGCCTACTTGTTAGAAATATAAATAAAATAATCGAGTTATGTACATTATTATTGCTCGTGCTCGAAACTATTACACAGAAAATATTATAGTAACTGTCAAATAAATATCGAAAGATATTTTCAAATTTAAATAATTTCAATCCACGATTTATTCTAGTAAAATTATAAATTAAAAACTAACAATTTCAATTCGGTGGGACTTTGAGCAGTTTTCGAGTCTGAAAGAATCCACATAGTCCTGTTCTATATTCTTTTCGTTATTTTTCTATAAACCAAGTTCAAAACTGTTATAATTTTAATAAGTCGTCCACTAACACTGTTTTTAAAAAAATGTTTATTTTCAACAAACATTACGGATTTGGTCCAACTTGGTATAATCACTTCACATCTAAGTACGGTCCCACATATATATTTTTTAAATTCTAAAAGTGAACTGAATATTAATCTTAAAAAAAAATACAAATAAATCCAAGTACACCAGGACGATTAATGTTACACTACACAGCACGAGTAATGTCTAATCTAACCTTTATACTAAATATATTTAAATATAAAAATAAAGATGGCTACTTTTTCTATAATAATGGCTGATGCAAACCTGACATGTAAACATTGAATACTGAGAGCATCATTGAGATCATTCATCTAAGTTATGTTTTCACGGCTAGTCACTACCCACGATGATTGCTTAAGTACCTAACTCGACACTTGTCATAAGCTTATACATTATGATATCTTAATAATTATTAGTAGATATTATTACATCGATTTGAATTCTAATACTTCCGAAAACATTAAAATAGATTAAACTAACTTTTTATTAAAACAGAATTACTATTGAATCTTTTGTTTGTGATGCTGTAATCTTACCAATAAATGACTAATAGAAATAGTACATATATCAAATTTATCTAAAATCTACAAACGCATCAGCCGCATGATGTCATGCATAAATTATTAAATAAAATCGAGCATTACATTTTAGCACCTTAAAAATATAAAAGCCTGAATACCGGATTCGCTATGGACTCCATGGACTTTAGCGCAAGAACTTCCGGTCCGTCTTTCATCATAAAGTTATATGGTCAAATAAGCTCTCGCTATTGTATGTTCTATGTATATATAGATCAGATGATCTTATTGAGCTATCTGGAATAGGTCGAAATGGTGGCAAATGACGTAATGGTCTTTAATTCACTAGGAAGAGAGAAATGGGGTTGGTGCGAGTCCTTTTGTGCGAAGCTGTACGCTTGGACACATTGGGCTCGGTTACTTATAGAAAAAGGATATTAAATTTAGGTGCGGCGAAAAAAGGGTGAACTGACAAAGAAAGTAAGTGTAACTGTTCAAAAATAATCCTCTATATCATTTACAGTAGAAATATTTGGTCCATGGAGTCTTCTACTTTCTAAAAGATAAAACACATCTTATGGCCTGTAAAAAGAGCGCTGGCCTATTTATTCCAAATAACTGGCTTTGCAATTTAACAGGGTATGTAGTTAGCGCTCTTGCACTATTCCTAACGGTAATGTGCACATGTGTTTTATACATATTATATAAATAATAAAAGCTTACAATTTTTCTTGTAACACCATTAATAGGAAAAGAAACGCGTCGGATATATTTTTCATCAATGTCAAATAAAATCATTTCAATTACTAAATAAAGAGGATAGATTATTACATTTTAGCTTATACTCTTTAATTACAATTTTAATACAATAACAAGACAATTACTTTTTATATTAATCGTGGTACCTACCGCATATTTTCTGTGAGGGTTCCACATTAAAAATTATATCGAGACAATTGTAACTAAATGCGAGCTGAATATTCGAATAAGAAATAAAAAGTGAAGACATAGGTATATATTGATTATATTTTTTATAAAAGACTAGTGAATATTAAATCTGAAAAAAATAATAATGTCGATAGAAACTTATTATTACTACTTAACGAATATGTCACAACGATTGCATTTTAAGCTCAATTAGAAATAACATAATACATTTATTATGTTAAAAATAAAAAAAAGTTTGATTATCGTAAGAATTAAGTACCCATAATATGAAATATATAACGAATACGTATATTTCCATACATTTTGTATGTACAATAGTACAAATGTACGTGTAAAGCATGTTACATGCAAAGGTTACGTGTATAATGTCCATGGGGGAATGTAGCAGCAAAATAAACCGATGAGAGATAATTTGACATATATTTTTTTGTAGAATCACATAGAATTATGTTTTAGCAACAATGGTATATTTTTCCGCGACTTTTAGTCTGGGTTTGCTAATTTGGATAAACCCTCCGAACATTACTATTAGACAAAATGGTTTTAGTTTGGTTATTTAAAAAAAAAATAACCTTCGATTTATACCAACATAGTACTTTATTCTAAACGTCATCTGCTGGAAGCCCTAATTAAGCTGGGTTTCCCAATGCCCTAATCAAAAGCTTATCGTTCATTTTTCAGGGGTTATAAACTTAATTTCTTTAGTAACGTTAGACCAATTACTTTTCAAAGCTATTAATTTTTAATTGAATTGTAGAGAGAAATAAGGTCTTCATGTTTTTTATATAACACATCGAGTGGAATAGTGAATGGATTTAAGAACAAAAATATTGCAACATGGCATTAGTGGCTATTGCACTTGGTACTAACTTATAGTTGAATATAAGTTACAGGAAACTCTTATAACGCTATAATTAAAATATTGTAAAAATTATATAATACTGAAGATTTGGAAGAAATATGAGAATTTTCTAAATTATAGTAAAATAAAACTAGTAAAGCAAAATAAAGCTCGGTTTACACAACGCAGTAAATAAGTTTTGGTCGGATAATGTGATAGTTAAAAATAGAAAAGAAGTGTAAAAAGCTTATCTGACAAGGGCTTCATAAATGTATGAAGCGCGAGGCACATGTATAGTACGTACATTATATAATAATAGCGAGTAATACAAGCGATACAGTAAAAACGCGTGCGGTCTAAGTTCTAAACTACTGTATAATATCTGTAGTATTAAAATAGACGCTTTTCATTTTACTGGGCCTTATCTATGTTGGTGGATTTTGTGGCGAACATGGGTTCGTCTTTCAGGAAGGTTCCAGAACGTTCCATCGCCGGTATGGGTTCATGTTCCTCCCGCCTGTTTATATTACTGCTGGTATTTATTTTCGTCGCATGTTTATGCTGTTTGCACAATTTAGGCGGATGTTCTTTCGCAACTTTTGGTACAATTTTGGCGGAACTGGATTTTGTTGCGCTCATTAAAGAACCTGATACTTTCCTCTCAAATACTCGAGACTTGATTTTAGCGGAATGTGTGCATACTTGCCCTTTTGTGCTGGTATTCGACTTGCCACTACCATTGCATGACACTGAGTTTTGGTTGAAATAAACTGGGATCTTCGTCTTCACGTTGGCGTTCAATAGTGACGATGGCGATAGAAGTTGACATTTTGAAACCACTGCTGTAATTAATATTAAAAAATATATATTATTAAAAAAAAGCACTTATTCAAAAGAAAATGTTTTACAAATAATTCCAATAATTAGAAAAAATCGAATGCCGTGTAACTACGATGTTTTTAATACTCTTTCGTAAATAAACGTTACCTGAATTCATTACATTTGTATTATAAGATAATTATTACATATTGATCTACTTCAAACAAGAAAAAAGAACTCAATTCCAGTGAATGTATTTGTTTGTGTTTCTTATTGATTATCGTTTTTTACGATACTTTCTTATTGAATTGGTTCATGGTTGTCATATGTTAATAATTACTTATTAAATACAAAGATAGGAATTTCGAAATCTATTTCAAAGTAATAATATCCTCCTTAAATAATATAAACTCTTGAAATTCATATAGCATCTTTTAAGTATGCCCTCATGTAAAATAATAATATTAATAGATTGGCAAATAAAGGTACGAAAAAACATTGGAGAGGTTCCTTCTTTTTTGAAGTTGGTGAATAATTGTAGTAACTTACATTCAACAGATCCTTTTCCAGTGTGCTTAGTTTTAGTGTAGGTGGCATACTTGTTGCTGTTCTGAGACTCACTCAATGAATCCGTCGAAGGCTCTGCGGTGCGTGGCCTTGAGGACGTTGCCAGGCTATCTTGAGACATAGCGTGAGACTTTTTCTCGCACACCTGGTTTGCCGCCAGTCGGCCAGTCCTCAAATTCCTTGACTGGATGGGACTTGAATTACGCGACGACTCACTGGAAGAAACCATTTTGTTAACAAGCTTCTTAGTTGGCGTTTTCTTTTCCCTTTCCTTGCATTGGCGAGGCTCTAGATACCTTGGTTTCGTGTTCTCGAACGGGTGGGGTCGAACTGCGACCGGCTTGTTACTAACTGATCGATCCTGCGATGTTAGTGTCTTTGTTTGGTTAAACTTCGCCCGCTCTTCTTGCGCTTTGGTCGTCCTCACTTTGGGTATGCTAATCTTGTTGTTGACCCTCTTGTCTCGCAATTCACAAGTGCTCGGAACCTTATCTTTTGGTGGTGCGATCACAATTGGTTTCGGTTTGTAGGGAACAAAGGAGTTCCTTACTTTTTCCATATCAAGACTACGCGTGGTTGCGGGATTGATCGTTTTAGGTTTGCTCTGATATGTACTTTTAGTTTTTCTGTCTTGCAGAGGGGATGCTGTGAGAGGTATCGCCTGTGGTCCGTACATGATGCATCCTAATTCCCTAAGTCGTCTCCTTAGGTCCGTGGGTAAATCTTTGAAGGCTTGAGTCCCGACGACTCTTGGGGCAGCTCTGACGAGAGCGCCTTCACATTGAAGCCTCCAACTGCCGGCATGTGTGTATAACAAGTTATTGGGCTCAGGTACTTTGTTCGTTTGGTTGTTAATAAGATCAGGTTTGGAGTGTTGGTTTCGGATATCTCGGATGAGAGTCGAGAGGAAGGCATAAGCACGGCAAGTTTCATCTGGCGGTGCCCATTCTATGGCAGCTGCTAGGCAGTCGTCCAAGGCCTGTTTGGCGGAATTGGGTGCATCAGGTACTAAGGATATCATTTCCAGCACAGCCAGGAGTCTTGGCGCCGCGAAGTGAGCCGCAGCATTCACCAGCTTTCGACACATCCGAGCCACAATCTCCGCCCACCTACTATTTTGTAGTGATGCCACTGGAAACAATTAATTATTTATTTATGCGATATTAAGTTTATGATTTGTGTATATAAAATTAAAATATATGTTGTGTTTATAATAAAAAGAAGAACTAAAGACATACTAAAATAAAATATATGTATAGTACTTTTTGGTCTAAAATTTGTTTTTATATGACTTAAATTTTATTAAATCGGTATAACTTATATCACACCTGTAATACCACATCCATAGACAGTTTCTATGAGATTGTCAGTGGAGAGATTAACGATGTGTTCTTGATAGCACTTGTCCAGTAACTCCTTCGGAAGCGTAGCAAAGGTCTTGGTGGGCCACACTTTTGTGAAGTACTTGGTGATCCACCTCAAACATTTACGGTATAAATCGTCTAACCCATACACCGAAGACAGTGGGAAACACTCTAGTACGCCGGCAGTGCATACTTGACAGGGCTAAAAGCAATTTGAAATGGTTGTGTATTAAATATAACAGGGAAATCATTTTACTTATAAATGAAATTTTATACATAAATGTATTAATTTAGCTATTGTATTTATTTATTATGCTGATCGGATATGAAATCGGAAATTATGTTTATAATTAATAGTTCATAAAACAAATTAAAGTACAGAACATATAACTACCCTATGGAAATGATGGCAATATTTGGCCTTTAGAGTGAACATGATAGCTTCCTTCAGCCCTTCAAGTCCTAACATATCGGCGATGGTCGCTAATTCCACAATGCTTACTGAATCGGGAATAGTCGACAAGCCCGAGTATATGTGGCATAGAGCGAAATGCACTACATTGAAGGAAAACCTACAAAAACAACAGATATTTATACGTATACGCACACATATTTTTCATTTTCATTAAAATTACTATATTCATTTCACAAATATTATAAGTACTGGAAGTAGCAAAACTGCACCTGGTTTTAAACATAAGAACATATAATGGTAATCATTGTGTGTAAGTGATGTAATTAATAATACTTACGGCGGTAAAACGATAACGTTTCCAGCGCTTTCGACCCATCCGCCACTTAATATGCCAGCAAAATATTGACATCTGTAATATATTTTAAATTATTTGAGAATTAATTATTAATTTAATAAAAAAATATGGACTCTTCGAAAATTTTCTGTGGTTTTGTCTCTATAGTAACTAAACCTACGCTGTTCGATTGCGTACTACCTTAATGGGCTATATCTATTGAGTTGTAGAAGATAGTTTGTTATAAGCCAATCGATAATTTCAAAAATGTAATAATATTCCGTCGCCGTCGGATTTGCTAACAATTAATAAAAAAAGCAAACAATGAAGAGGAATTCTCATGCAAGACGTATTTTTTTAATATATCACGAATGCTACATTGTGTTATTAAAGACGATAATCACCTTGACGATAATATACACTTATGTGCCTTAATGCGTTTCCCAGACACTTCCACAATTACGTCTGGGGCTATTTCCTCTAGAAACATTCGAAGCAAGTCTTGACCCAAACGAGATTGACAGTTACCGATAGAACTCGATGTTTGACTTGTTTCCTCGGTAGTACTGTTTTCTGAAAAATATTATGTAAATAAATGATTTGTTTTCTTTAACAATGTTTGAAAAATACTCGCAAAGTATTTATATCTTACCTATAACAGAACGACACATGCTACTCTGCACGCTACTGATTTCAGATACGTCTGAAACTTGCTCGTCTATTTCACCAACACTCGACGATCCACCTTGCCTTAAAGGTGATCGTGTCCTACCGGACAGCGATATAGGCATGCTTTTGCTAAATTCGTTCTTTAAATGAGGAAACAATCTATTCAAACTTAATGCGTTTTCTGAATGAAACGAACTAATAACTTCACTAGATCTTGACGTTGAAGCAATATTTTGTTGTGACCAATTATTTTCTGGTATAGATCTCGTCATTCTAACATCAAAGCTATCTCTTTCAAAAATATCCGAAGTTTGAATTGGTTTGTCTAAGTCAGATAATTTAACAAAAAGATCTGACTGCTCATTAGTAGACTCTTCGTGAATAGTAAATGACGTATTGGATATAAAACTCTTATCACCATTACGCCGAAGATGTTGCTTTTCATTTTTTATATTTTCAACTTCACTAGGCGGTTTTGTTGTTTTTAGAGCTGGTTCTGGGATGGCTATGATTTCCGAGATAGTTATGTTTGGGTCGTTACACAACGATTCGTATCTCTCAAATGTTGTTGAAACAGTGCTTTGATCTTGGAAATAAGACGATGATGAATTTAAAGAAGTGACTTTTTCATTACTCACTACTTTAGTATTTTTTGAATTTTTTATTAAAATTTTACTGTCATTCGATTGTTTCTTAACATTTAGCGAAGATGACAACCTAGTTGGCATTTCTTTTAGCGTTGATTTCTCTCCTAAATCAATGTACATAGAAAAAATATTTTTTTTTTCAGTAGTACTTTCATCATTGTTTGGTTTTTCCGGCGGCAGTGGGTCAGGCAATGTCGATAAATCTATATAAAACTTATGGCCAGATTTTTCACTGCTATCAGATTCAACAGAACTTCTGCTTTTACTACATGTTTCGGTATTAGTATGCTTTGTTTCATTTTTTAATGTCTCACATACTCTATCACCAGGTTTCTTGTTTAAGTTTTGGCTAAATGCACTTTTGGATACTTCTATTACTTTGGGAGTTGATGACATATCTACCACCCAAGCTGATCCTGAAACGGATTTTGGTGATTTGGGTAAGCTGGTGCTCTCTTGATTTAAGCAAGCACCAGTTACTATCGGTATGTTTTCCACTTTTCTTCGAACTGAAGGGCTATTGTTTTGTGTTCCTATTTTAGGAGAACGAACATCTTCAATCGAAGCGCCACCTGACACAATAGGCGAAGATTCATTGAACCTACTTGATCTAAAATTCGTAAGACTTTCTCTGCTTATAACAATCGTATCACTCTCACTTTCTTCCGATTCATACTGCTTTAATGATGAAGTTTTCAATGACATAATTGAATTATGTGGCGTAGTTCCCATGTATACAGTATTTGTAGAAAGTGAAGCTGATTTTTCGGGTTGACATGTAGATGGATATTTAGTTTCAAATATGTCTTTGTTTTCATGCATATCATTCGTACTTAATGAATCTTCAGTGATAGGTGTCATTTCGAAAATAGTCGGAGATAAGTCTTTTTGTATGGAGTCTGGTTCTTTGTTGTCGGGTTGTTCTAAAGAATCTTCGTTGTCATTGCTTTCCGACCAGTCCCCTGGACTAATGTCGGGTCGGGAGCAAGGTACTGGTTGGCTTGGTACAGGTATATAGTCAGATTCATGTTTAACATTTTCCTGGTCTGTTTGTTCTTGAAGATTTACAGAAACTTGATCTTCATCAGCTAAACTAGCTGCGTCTATGAAACATGGTGTTGTTTTAGTTGAAGATTTTTCATAACTTTGACATTCCGACATATTATGGGTGTCGCCTTTCTTTATTATAACATCTTCATTTACAAACTGACGTTCATTATGAATAAATTTATCGCATATCTCCTTATCAGTAATTTTTGGCGGAAAGACTGATTCCCAAGATCCAGTCTCAGACGAGACCGAAGAAGATTCTAATATTACAATTTCTTCATTTTGACGTTGCTTTTCTTCTTTAGAAGATTTTCCATAAACTATATCATTTGATTTTGAGTTAGAAGTTCCTTTTATTCCGTTACTGCTAGAGTCTTGATAAGCGCTATTTAAGGATGATGTTCCAGTTCGATGAAGTGGTAATTTTATTTTCTGAATTTGATTTAAGTCAGCTTCTGGACTTGATGTAGATTCCTGGGAATGATTTGTATCTTCTATAGTTAAATCGTGCAAAGTGCTCTCAGTTAGCGATAAATCTGTCAACATAACATCTTTATGGCTATTGAGACTTTCCAGCATACCAGTATTATCCAACCCCGAATCGGAAGAAGTAAAAATATTTTCCATTTTAGTGCTATTTTCGCCAGCATTTAATTGAGGCAAACACCCAGAAGATCCCAACGCCGGAGAACAAGCGTACGCAGCGGATAAATAATCAGATGACGAACTAGGGTCGTCTGTTATTAAACTATCAGGTGAGTATGCGGGATCCAATAACTTTTCAGCCAAAGATTCATTCCCATTGACTTTGCCAAAATCTACTATCTTAGAATATTGGTCAAAAGGTTTCATGCATACATTATAATTTTCTTTTTCGATTTCTTTCCCATTCCTTAAAGAATTTTGCTCAAGCGGTAATTTACTATAGATATCACAATTATTGGAATGTTTTATGGTTTTGGGTGAATGACTAGATATTAGAGACAAAGACGAAGGTTTAATACGTTGCGAATTCTTAGTTGTACTCCTATCTTGCGACTTTATGATAGTATGAAACGCATCTGACAAAGCGTCTTGTTCTATGAGCTCTTGTTCTAATAAATTACCTTCAATATGTACCAGTGCATAATACTCCTTAGTTAATTCAGTACTGGGACTAAGGCATGAAAGTTCTTGACATATTTTCTCTTTATAAGGACTCGGGCAATTTGGGGTTAAAAACACGTCAATATCTTCTATCTCATCCTTGATTTTTTTTGATTCAGGGAGATTATTAGAACTATTTGTAAATAATTTTCTCTTAAGGAATATTAGTATTTCTTTTTCCTGTGCTGTTATGTCACATTCAGTATAGGCATCACTGAAAATAAAAGTTAAGTTTGTTAATAGTACTATGAAAACTTACAATCACACGACATAGTGTAATTAGGGCCTACCATGCAAATAAGTATATTAGTAATGAAAATGTAGGTAGTTTTAAAATATTTCTATTGAAACGTCTTAGCTATTACCTTATGAAAGAATATATTTCATCAAATGTTTCCCGTCCAATGTTGACATGCAAAATGGCATCAAGCTTCCTATAAAATTTGTTTGTACGTGCTTTTAGTATACAAGAATGGGTTAGTATTTTTAATTTTCCACACACAACTTCCAAATCGGAATAAATGGATTCATCAAATATTCTGTAAATAAAAAATGTCTCTTTGTTTTGCCTTTTAAAAATGTTACAATAGAATTCTTCTAATTTATTTAATATGATAAAAATATTATTTATAAGTATGTTATTTAATTTATAATTAACACTAGAAAAGAAGACATTACTTCATGTTACTTTGTGTACGTAGGGTGGTCAAATATTTTGTGACGATAAAATCTTATTATTGGTAGTGAAAACGTGATTGACATCACAAGATGGTTAAACAATGAATTAACAGTTCTTTCTTCATTACCTTCATATTTTCACCTTCCATATTAATATTTAAATGTCATGTAATATTTTGATTCCCTTACTTATGACAGTCACGTTTGTTTTATTAATAAGAATAACCTAGATACTTTTTAAGACATGGTACCTATATAATTTGTTAAAGGAATCAAAGTACCTACACATATAATAAAATTGTAACTAAGCCGAATCTGAACATTAAATATTTTTTGGAAAATGTATGTCTGGTACCGCATCATGGTTTTGGATGGATTTTGATAAAATTTGGTATGATGATAGCTGGTTATCTGGGTCAACATATAGGATGCTTTTTACCGCGGGAAGTATCTCATCTCTGAGAAATCGATACTAAACGTTAAAACGTAATTTGGGACAAACCCGAGCGAAGCGAGGTTGATATGGTAATCTAATATTTGATTTTGTCAAATATTTAAGAATACTATCTGTAATGATAAAATATGACATAATAAAAGGTAAATCATTTAATTGTTATTAAAGAGAGTTTCATATACAGGAACCCCAAATTGAGTCCCACATTTGCTAAATTCGAAAATCACAGTAGTGAATATAAAAAAATTGATTTCATTTCCACATAGTTTTGTGCTAATCACATTGCTTAATAAACAGAAGACATGCTTGTACAGTTATAATTCATTTATAATATTACCTTGCTACATCCTCCTCAAGTTGTCTTTGGAGGTAGAGTTCCAATTTGGATGCTTCATCTGATGTAGCAGAGTCACTAGCCGACACCGGCTTAACCCTCGGGTCCGGCATTAAGCATTTCTTAAACCTTTTATGTAAGAAAATTAAAAATCTTTAAAAGAAAATCATTCCTGTTGTCCTAAATCTTAATATTTTGAACTAGCAGAATCCGCGGCTTCGCTCGCGCTAAAACTACAAAAAAACTTTAAAAAGTGGGTTTCATAAACACTTTCATCTCCTATTTCACCCTCTTAGGTTTGAATTTTAGAAAACACTGAAATAAGTAATTCATTATTTTTGCCGTACTCAATTCATACGAAATTTCATACAAATATGTCCAAGGAATAAAAAGTTTCATACAAACTTTTATCCCCTATTTCACCCCTTTGGGGGTTGAATTTTGAAAAATCCTTCCTTAGTGGATGCCTTCGTCATATGAGGAATACATGTGCGAAATTTCAATTTTCTAGCCTAGGGATTGGCCTGTGCGTATATAGATTACTTAAGATAGGTTATTTTTTTTTCAAAGTTGACTTTAACATTTGTGCATGTAATCAGTGTCAATAGAAATTGGGATAAATTCCGTTTATCGTCACTTTTAGGGTTCCATACTCAAAGGGTAAAACGGACCCTATTATTAAGACCCCGCTGACCGTCTGTCTGTGTCTGTCTGTCTGTCACCAGGCTGTATCTCATGCACTGTGATTGTTAGACAGTTGAAATTTTCACAGATGATGTATTTCTGTTGCCACTATAACAAAAAATACTAAAAAAACAGAATAAAATAAATATTTAAGGGGGCTCCCATACAACAAACGTGATTTTTTTGCTCATTTTTGCTCGATATTGATAACGGTAACAGGTAGACGGTTGAAATGTTCACAGATTATTTAGTTATATATTCACTTTTTGCCATGAGAGCTTATGAAAGGTATGTCAAATGTTTTCAAGAATTGCAATAGCGAAGATATCTTCTTGGTACTAATAGGAGAATCCATTCAAGCAGTTTACTGCACTTGACTTTGGAAAGGATCATTTTATGCAAGAAACACAGATCAAGTATCTCCCACCTACTTCAAAGAGACATCATTTTAAATTCATCAATAGATCATTTAACCAAATCTCTGATTATAATGATTACTGATTATGAAACCAGTGGCATGGAATGCAATGTGCATTGTACACTTTCAAAGGGAATGTATGTGATTGGAAGGATATCAAGTGACACTGTCAAACTTGAGGCAACTTCTGATAACTGGAACAAAATGGTTTTGTACAAAGATGTTGTACAAAATCATTTTAGTCCAGTGGGTAAATCCTTTTGTGATTTAATAAACAATAAAATTACAATCCAATCTAATAATTATAATTTTGCTTTATTTAGAAGATAATTTTATTTTAAAACCCATAAATTGTTAGTGCCTGGGGTAACTACATTGATGATTTTTTTTAACTATATTATCTATATAATATTTATAGGTATAAAAATATAAAATCTCTTAGTTAATTTGACAAATTCAGGACAATGTATTATTATTAGGATAGAAGAAAAAGAGGATCAATGCTTGTAAAAGGTAGCCGTTTTGATTATATAGTATATTGTTCTTGGAAATTGAAAAAGAAAATTTAAATATATTCCTAATGTGAGTGGTATATAAAAAGTATTAAAAAGTATTACATTTATTGCATTTCCATATGTACAGTGTGTATATAAGAAAAGCTAAAAAGCAACCTATACTAAAATTCTGTAAGACACATTTGTTGTTGTTATTTATCTTTACAAGTTAAATCTTTAGGATATTTATATGTATAAAATGTCTTAGATCATTATTATAAAAAACAAAAAATGTAGAGGAACTTTTCCCTAAATATTTAAATATGTATATATTTTATTTCTTGATGGAAAAATAAAACATCTTAGTATTACTTTGGCTTCCCAACAAACAAATCTCTCACATCTTGCTTACTTCTTTTATAGAAAATAATATCATACTTTGATAAAGAAATATATTAAATTAATGTAATTGTTTAAGTCTAATTCAATATGTTATAGTTTTTTTTAATTTCGAATTTTAAAAATAAACAAATAATAATACACTGTATTATTCATATCTAATTTTTAAACAATACATATAATACTATATAAATATTTACCATTCACATACAACTACATTATCTTACAAGAATAATTAATAATTACATATCTTATATCATCAAAACACATTTAAATGCAAAACATGTTTCTATTGTCTACTGCCAATATATATATGACATCATGCAATACCAACACTAGTATCATGGGGTTATTTTTGTTAAAGTAAAAAAAAAAGTTATTCACCTAGCAGCATGATAAAAAATTAGCTGGTTTAGAAGTCTTGTAAGATGCATAAAAACCGCCAAGAAAATGATATATGACATATAAATTATTTAATTAATACATATTTCACCGCACGACAAGACATTGATATATTAAACCACAATATAAAAACACCTTTACTATTATTTTTTACTGTTATTGACTTATTTATTATTATCTGCTTTTAATATTAATATGTTAAAAATATGCAATAAAATGTTATGATAAGAACAAACAAACGCTCGTGACATACCAAGAAGATTCCAATTAGTGCAGCAAATCTTGACATTAAAAATTTAAGGGATTAATAATCAAGTTATTGTTAAATTAAAAGAATTTTGATACAATAAAACTTATTGACACTATTAAATAAATATTATTTATACTATAGTCGATTAGTTGATTAAACTGATATCAACGCGTAAAATCTCCTCTACACAACTACCGATCGATCGTCACTAGCGCCATTGTCACACAGAGCCGGTGTTTATGATTTAACTACATTCAAAACCAGACTAGATATCTATGTATGAGTCTACAATTTAAAGTAAGAAATGCTAATATAAAAATATTATAAGTTTAGTGAATATTTTGCCTTACCTTTGTAAAATTTAAAATGAAAACATTTGTCAAGCCTTACAAGGCCAGACAATTTTTTCTTCTTTCTAATAATTGTTTGCGCCGGCGTACATCGTTATTTTGGCAATTGGATTATATAAATCTATCCATAATTAAGGTTACCGAGTTTCGACTAGAAATGAAACCATAATGCATATTTTATTTTATATTTCATTATTTTGTTACGTATAAACGGTATTTTATATCGATCATTATATTAACTTTAATTTTTAACGTTATATTGTTGTTGTTTGTAAATATATATTAAAAGGGTTATAAATCATTAAGATAATATTTTCTAATCTATTTTCTTAAGTAAATATATATACCTAAAGATAAATTTATGTATATATAGTGGCTATGTAAAATAGTGTCCTCAGTGCTTTATAAATTTAGTAGGTACATTATACAGTAGAGGTGAGGAGAACTATCTCTATGATGAAAAAGTGTCTATCAAAAAGTGTTAAATTAGCGTGGCGCTAATGTAGCAAATGGGTAAAATTTTAAAAAGCGCCAAAGTAAATAGAGTCCGGCAAACCTGCCCCCCAGGCTTTTTTCTGTTTTTAGAATTTTTATTTTCACATATTGTTTGTACGTCGTTTGTTTGGGGGAGAGGAGGGGGGTCAGGCCATAGTCTACCACGCTTTTGCTAAGTTCTCTCAGACATGCAGGTTTCCTCACGATGTTTTCCTTCACCGTAAGGTAAGTGGTAATCATCTTAGAAATGAATTGAATTGAAACTGATACTTTTTCTTTTTATTAGCCAATACAAGTACAATACAAGAATATCCGAATAATAATTGAGTTAAATGAAAATTGTTGATTAAATAAAAAATAGTCACTTTGACGTAGAACAAACGTATTTTATAAACATACAAACTTTAATGAGTATTTAAAATACTTAATACGTTCCGCTAAAATATTACGTTAGCCTTTAAATCCTAGATGGCGCTTAGACACTTACATTAGTGGTACATTTTTATTTATAATCTATATTCGTTAGTAGATACTAGGTAGGTACTTGAGGCAGCAGCGGGCCCATCCCCACTGTTCTTCTGTCGACTGTCAGCGCACTTTTTTATTCACGACTGTCAGATATTTCATCTGTTCAAAAAATGCACAATAATTTTTAACTATTTCGTTGTATTAAGATGTTCGAGCTTGAATTTTAAATAATATACAAAGTTTAAATTAACATAGAAATAGGAGGAGGACAATAAATTTAAATTAAACCTTGCAAGAGGTTTATTAGTTTATTATATAATTGTTTTAGTAAATAATTTCTATGATGATAGGAGCGTTTTAATTTGTAAACGAAGCAAAATAATTTAAAATTGTTGCTGTATTGCTTCTAAAAGTAATGCGAATATGGACCATTCGACCGAGAACTGGGATCCGGGTATGTTTTTTAAAAATTGTTAATTGATTTTAAATATATTGTTAATGAAAACACTTTCTATATAGCTACAGAATATTGGTACAATGTTAATAGTTTAAAGATTGTATACTTAATGTGGAGTATTTTTTTATAATTGCAAAGTTTTTTAATATAGACTTATTTTAGCATTGATGCGACTATTAACTTCTTTAAAAGAAGTGCAATCAGGTGGAGAAGATGTTGCTTTTTTGAATGAACTTCTCCAGTCAAAGCAACTCCATGCTCTTGTTCAAGTTCATAATAAAATTGTAGCAGCACAATGTAAAGATGATAAATTCTACCCATTATTGTCTAATGCAATGCAAGTTACTTTGGAAGTGTTGCAACAGTTTAGTGAGATTGTGACAAGTTCTAGTGAATTTGAAGAATTGTTAAAGTTACTTCAAAAGCCCCACTTTCAGGTTAGTGATGAGGGAGGAGTGTATATAATGTAGAAAACATTATATTTTTATTATTTTGTTTATATTTCTATATTATGTTTTTCATTTATAGGCAATTCTCTGTACTCATGATGCTGTGGCACAAAAAGACTACTATCCTCATCTTCCTGACATACCTGCAGATGCAGATGATGAAGAAGAGACTGTAAAAATTGTTCAACTTGTTAAAAGTGATGAGCCATTGGTATGTCCATAATTAAAATTTATGCTACAGTTCTTAACAGTACAATAAGAAGTACATTTTCATTTAGAAATAGCAGCTATATCAAATAATTATATTTACTATAAATATGAATAAAATAATTTAAGTGTACATATATATCTGTTTAATATATTTAAGTAAAACTATAATCTTCTAAGCTTTTAATCGAACTAATAAGATTTCATAAAAATATTGTCATAAACTAAAAAAATATTTATTTATACTTAATATATTGATTAATATTTTTATTTACTATCAATACATCTACTGCTAGTGCTGGGTATATTTTAGTAACAATTTTTTTATTGAAAGGGTGGAGCTCAGAGTGCAGAGCCAATAGTGGTAAGTCTATAAACTGAATATTTAATTGACAGAGATGTGCTTTATTTTTTTATACTATTTCTTTTATATACTATGTATCCTATTATTTATTGAAATGATTTTTACTGTACTGTATTCTCTACAAACACTTTCAAATATTTCTTGTAGTATAGTTTATACAGTAACCATCACTTATGAGGGAAAAAGAGGAAATAAAGAATACATTGCAGTGACCCCTTTTATTATTTATCCAATCTACAATATTTTTATTTATCAGCTGCTATCTCTAGATGATTTTTGTAATATGTATTGCAATGTGTTTGTTCTATATTTTTGTTCTCAATATATTTCTCTTAATTATGAAACTTTAGTTATGCTTTCTGTTGTTGCAATGCATTTTTTTTTTATGTTTACATTACTATTACATATTTTTGTTATTGTACTATATTTTTTACTCAGTTTATGTTTTAAATCACATTTTGTGTTACATTATTTCTTTCTTGTATTTTATATGAAATGTGTTCAAGTGTTAACAATGTTGTAATTTATCTATAGTAGTGAATACTTCTTCCAAGCATAAAAGTAAGTTTAAATTCTTTTTCTCCTATATTCTCTGAAGGAGCTTGAACTTTCTTAAGAAGTTTTGAATACTCTTTAAATTAGTTATAACTTTAAATGCTTTTTATATTTTCAAATTCCAATACTATTAAGAAGTTGATAATTGAACTATCATGACAATTTTAGGGTGCTACAATAAAAACAGATGAGGAGACTGGTAAGATTGTTATTGCAAGAGTAATGCACGGAGGTGCAGCAGACCGATCGGGCCTTATACATGCTGGGGATGAAGTAATTGAAGTGAATGGTGTCAGTGTAGAGAATAAATCACCTGCTGATGTTCTATCTATTTTGGTAAGCTGTTTGGGTAATTAATTTATGGTGAACTAGAGACTTACTATCAGTTTGCTCGGGCGCAGCCTTAGATACTTTTTCGTAATTCGTTACGAATTTTCTTTTATATTTAATAGTTATTGCTTTTCTTTTATATTTAATATTTATTACAAATATTAAATATAAAAGAAAAACTTTGGAATAATTTAACAAGGAATTTAGTACATGTACATAATCAACCTTGAAACAATTTAGTTGGAGAAGAATGAATGTCATATTCATAATATCATGTCCTCACATTTCGATTCTACATGTGTTTTGTTAGATTAATTTCAAAAAACAGCGGTTATTGTGACTTAACTATAATGCTTAAACATAGCCATGCTAAAAGTGTATTTATCTATAGGTGAAAGAATTTTTAAAATTGGTGAAATAGTTTTTGAGTTTATCCATTACAAACAATCATACAAACATACAAAAATTAAATCTTTTCTCTTTATAATATTAGTTTAGACGATCATAACATATTGTCCTTCAAAGATGGAAAAAAATATTTAGAAATATAAAATAATATGATGAATAAAATCTCATGTTTTTTTCCATGATTTAAATGTATTTCTTTAACAATACCTTTTAATAGATTGGGATAGATCTTTCTACTCATAATAAAAAATATTTACGGCATAATAAGTACAATTATTAATATGGAACTAGTAGGTAAAAAGGCCAAAGATTTCTACTTTTTAAAGGGAAACCAGAGATCAGAGTGGGAGGTATAATAATTGATTTTTTATTGTTTTTCTTCAGAGTGTGTGCCTAAAGTCAAATGAAAGTGTTAACACTTATATATTTATTGTATTACTGTTTTTACAATAGACTAAAAACCAAAAAGAATAAAAAAATCCTATCAATCCTTCAGTTACAGAACCCTGAAATACTCTACAATCATGCCTAGGCAAAATAATTAATATATTAATATATTAAAAAAATTGACAGCACAATGATTATTATAGTGTATACAATGATACATATAAACAAAATTTCTTCACATGATTAAGCATTTCCCGACGATTCATGTTTTCTCCACCGTATCAGAAAAGTGGTCAGGTTTTTCTATTTATGTATACATATGTTTAATCTGACCTTGTTTAGTATTTATTTGTCCAATAATTAGTATTTTCTTCTCATATAGCAATTACTTTTGTTTATTATAAGGTTATTTGAAATATTTTTTTATAACAATAATTATTTGCAAAATATTATTTTATTTATTGTAATGATAGCTTTAAATACTTGTCAAGATTTTATACAAGTCTTGAACATTAAAATTAAATTCGAGGTTAAAAAATGAAGTATTGACTTTATTTTCTTATTTATTTATAGCAAAGCTCGGAAGGGACCATAACTTTTAAGTTAGTACCGTCCTTCGGAAAAGGTGGTACGAGAGAGAGTAAAGTGAGAGTTAGAGCGCTCTTTAATTATAGCTCTGCAGAAGATCCTTATATACCGTGCAAAGAAGCAGGCCTTAATTTTATGAAAGGAGACATTCTACATATTGTGTCTCAAGATGATGCTTATTGGTAAGTTTCAAAAGATATTTTTTATGCAATAAAATGATTTTTATAGTTTTTAAGTAGCTTTCTACGTAGTCTTTCAGCGAAACGTAAGTTTCATTGCGAGCGCCTAGGACGTAGTATTTTATTGAACTTATTATAATAGTATTATCCCATGAACATTAAAATACAGCAGTAATTAGTAACAATAATTTCTACACGGGTTATCTTAGACGCTGTGAACTAGTTTTTACCCGACTGCGCGATGCAAATGAGGATAATGAGTTTATCAGTCTATGTATGTACGTATGTATGTATGTTTATTCCTATGTGGCGTTCTAGAGAGTAACGCGTGGTCCGATTTCGATGAATCATTCGTCGACAGATTCGTCTTTTAAACGCAGATGAAGTAAAACTTGTTTGGCGGTGGCAGATACTGCAATTAAATTAAAAGAAATAAAATAAATTATAATTACATTTTTTATAAAATTATTAGTAATAAGTATTCATTTTATTAAGTAATAATAATAGGAAATATGTATTTTATAAATAATACTTTTATAAAAATAAATATTATATTTTTTTTTAATTATTAATGATAAATTTGACTTTCACTTCTGCGACACATCCACGACACTCATTTTTCCTATGTATTGACTTACCCCTCAGTCAGTCTAAAGAAGTGTTACTTCAAAAACGAAACGGTAGTGTCCCGTTGGCTGACCTGATCCGTGCGCTTACTCGCTAATCGTTATCAGTTTGAAACTGCACTGCATTGCGTGACGACACATTTCCAACCTCTTTCGAGGGCACCTAGTAACGATCCGTTATAATCTAAAATATTAATTTTCACTAACCTTGGTATTAACTAGCACACACTCGGGATACTACAAGAAAATTTCAATGAAAATTAAGAATTTATTAAATGAAACTAGCATTGCCCGCGGCTCCGCCCGCGTTCAGATGACCAAAAACCAAATTTTTAGGTTTTACATATTATTTTACTCTTACATTGCAGTTTTTGTATTTTTTTCTCGGAAATGAGATATTTTCCCGCGGTAAAAAGTATCCTATATGCTGACCCGAATAACCAGGTATCACCATACCAAATTTCAACAAAATCTCTCCAGTGGTTTTTCTGTGATGCGGTAACAGACAGACAGACAAAATTCTAAAAACTATAGATTCGGCCTCTGTATCGATAATAATCATTATTTCAATAAGATTTTCTAAAAAATGTCTAATGTACAGATTCGGCTTAGTTATAATTTTATTATATGTATAGATTGTATCTTTAAGCATTTATTGTCCAAGTATAGTATAGTTATACCCTAACTGCTACCCTACCCTTGCTGCTTACCCTAACTGCTATAGTTACAGGAAAACTTTCCTACAAGACCATCCTTAACTTTTTGAGATTTTGGAAAAAATGCACAATCAGAGAAAAAAAATTCTAAAATATTTTTTTATGACGATCGATCCTATTTCATTAAACTAGAAATATTAGTTATGGATGGTCCCCTTGGAACGTTTTCCTGTAAGTATATACGATATAATAATCCATCTTGTATAATTATATAAAAACGTATGTATTTTTGCCTCGTTGCCTTCTTGTAACGTATCGATTATCGAAGTTAATATACTACATACATAGAGTAAGTCATATTAATAAAAAGTACATCTACGATGGTACGGAATTCTTCGTGTGCGAATTCTCTCACTTAATTTTATTATTTTTTACTAGGGCCGCACTAAGATTATTAACGCGTAATGTATATTTTCGCTATAATTAAGGAACTTAAATAATTTTATAAAAATATTACTAGTTAATTCTTTGCTTGAGTCGCCTGTCTTTAGTTTTTAATAAGTAATAAAAAACACTAAAAACGCATTAAGTAACATACGTGCAAGTAATGTTCTCATCTATGACACTGGGCTAGCAAACTCGTTAGACAAAGTGCAAAGAGCTAGCATCAGAGGATGTGCATTTTGCCATGCCATCTAAATTTAGTTATGCGAGTTTAGCCATGTGTAAAGCGACCATTAATACAGATGTTGCTATTCACATAATGTGCCACTTTGCTTTATTTTCATTGACTGTTCTATATCTTTTATTCACTTGGCCGACGTATTCTAATGTATTAAATAGTAACAATTTTTGTGTGCATAATTTTAAAACATAGTTTTTCAACAAGTATGTTTTAAATTGTGCCATTGAAAGTTGGAATTTTTACTCCTACTATTAGACTCTTTACATATGAGTACATCATCACTTCATACTTCGACCACAGTCGTGAATGCATTACAAACATATAAAATCAATTTTTTAGCAATACATACAATTTATGTTTGTGAAGTTACAGAAAAAAATATATAAATGAATAAGAAAAAAGCTTATGCGTTTAGGTTTTAAGTGAATTGATTAAATGCTTCCAGAAATGGTTTATACTTGAATTACAAAACTCGCACTTTTTAAATTATTAATTTAATTGAATTTTAGACAACCCATTGGCTGTAACGTTCTATACATTCTATTTCTTGAGGATATAGCTACCCTGTTGTTAGTAACAGAATAACAGAAACTCGGCTTACGATATGATGTCAGCTCATAAATAAAATTAAACGAATGCCAATTCATCGAAATTTAAGTCACCGTGCGCCTATTTAGCCTATAATGACTTAAAAAATATAAAATACTTAATATGAATATTTTCAAATATGTTGGGACAAATATGTTGGGACATTAACACACATCACCATCTAGTTCCATGGTAAGCTACAAGGCTTGTGTTATGGATAACCAGATGGTTGATACACTACACTTATATAACTTTAAATACATATATATTATAAATATAAACATCCATGACTGGAGGTCAAACATTCGTGCTCATCACACAAATGAATGCCTCCAGCGGGATTCGAACCCGCGACCGCCGGCACAGCAAGTAGGGTCACTACAAACTGAGCCAAACGTGTCGTCGAATGGTTTTGATGTTTCTACAATGATTTTTAAAAACATTATGTATGTATATATAAAACTTTTTTTATAATCTCTATTACAAAGTGTAAGTTTTGACAAAAGCGTGTCTATACTAAAGATATTTTTTTCATTAGTGAATGTATAATATTTCAGGTGGCAAGCGCGTCGTGAGGGCGACCGTGTGATGAGGGCTGGACTAATACCATCGAGGGCCTTACAAGAGGGACGTATTATACACGAACGTCAAGTTGAACCACAAACAATGGATGGTTAGTATGGAGGATATAAATCTATAGATTAGTCCTCACATTACTCAGAAACACGTACACATTTGAAAAAGTGCCGATATTTATAGGCACTTATTACAGTAGTGTGAGATACACCCTTATAATTTCGGTTTTTTCTTATTTTTGTTTAAAATTGTATATAAGCAAGCCTCGTTGTCTTTATCATAAAGAAATAATCGAAATTAGGATGAAATTCTAATTACTCATAAAGTTTCACTCTTTATATTATGTACTAGCACTTAGATTTTACATATTAGTATACTCTTTCATTGCAGTTTTTGTATTTTTGGTCAGAAATGAGATATTTTCCCGCGGTAAAAAGTATCCTATATGTTGACTCGGATAACCAGCTATCACCATAAATTTTATCAAAATCCCTCCAGTGGTTTTTTCGTGATGCGGTAACAGACAGACCGATGAAAATTCTAAAAACTATAGATTCTGCCTCTGTATCGATAATGTCTATTTCAATAAGATTTTCCAAAAAATATTTAATGTACAGATTTGGCGTAGTTAGAATTTTATTTTATGTATAGATGTCAAATATTCGCGTAAATCTAAGAAAGTATTAAAAGAAAAACTAGTTCGAATAAATGTCAATAGAGGACGTTACATTTATCGATTGGTTATTAAAGTGGTGTTAAATTACCAAAGGTAAAAAAAAATACATTCCACAAAAGTGTAAATCAAGTTTGCGTAATTTTACTGATTATATTGTAATATCAGCAATCAGATAATGGGTTTGTGGAGTATATTCACAGATTGTGCTTTTACCTTTTATGGATTGTCACGGTTGAAAATAGTTGAAATCACAGATTTTTTTATTCAAATGCAGGATTAATTTAACAATATTTACCATATGTTAGTTTGCACGTATTTATAAAATAAAACAGTTTAACTATTTGCGAATCAATGACATCTATAATCTATTCAAACAAACAAAAATAGCCCAAAGAGTAGCCCGAATTAGCGCCGTCCAATTTATTTGTGTGGGATGAGGCATCTGGACTAGTATAGTACTCTGTGATCTGTGATAATATAAAAACACACGATACACAATTAGCGTCTCAAAAGTGTTCTCAAAAAGAAGTTTACAATTCCAAATTGAATTGCGAGGTACTCTAGTCTTTTTTATTGCTTTTCGGATGACAAAATTTAAATGCAATTTTTGATTTTTATTTATATCATATTTATTAGGAAATGTGTATCTATGTTTTTATAAATCAATGCCATAATTAGACTTGATATGTTGTATCAATAAAAATTTTAAAACGTATTTTAAAGTATAGAGGTATCATGGTTGTAGCTGATAGTAGCTTTAAGCAAAACAATATATTTTTAATATTTTGTCTATTCATCTATATGTAAACGAACTTCCTGAGAGCAGCAATACAATGTACAATGAGTATCACGGTTATATTATTGAAAAGTGGATATTCACTTAAAAATAGCTATATGACTTTTAAAATGATATAACTAATAACTTAAGTATATTAATACATTATTTTTAGGTAAGCCAGCTCTTTGTAGTCCGTCTCAAGTGAATTCAGATTGTGGACCAAAAACGCCATGTTCACCCACTCCCAATGCCGCTGCCCTATTACCATGCAAATCTACACCCAAAGTCAAGAAGATAATATACGATATAAAGGAAAATGACGATTTCGACAGAGAAATGATACCAACATATGAAGAAGTTGCTAGATTATATCCACGACCGGGTTTTGTGAGGCCGATAGTGCTTGTTGGGGCGCCTGGTGTCGGAAGGAATGAATTGCGAAGAAGGCTCATAGCGAGTGATCCAGAGAAATATGTCACGCCTGTTCCTTGTAAGTATGTGCGCGAATATATGATATTGCGAATGTTTGTATTACTCATCAGTTTAATATGTGAATTGATTTTATTATATGGCGGTGACATATGAAGAAATATGTTATACTCTAGTTGACCCAGCAGACGTTGTCATGTCCTATTTTCAATAAATTTACTAATAATCTACGATACTTTCTTAGATTAGAGTTCGTCCAAAATTTGTATACAAAAATTGTATACAAAAATAGTACCTATACTTCTTTGTCTCGAATTTTCCAGACAATTTTTCTCAATTTCTTTTCCCGGAAAACCTTATTCGGAATATTATGAACATTTTGCAAACGTAATACCCAAATCCAACCGTTTACGGTAAATTCGGTAAATTTTATTATCTAGAAAATCATAATCCCGTAATGTGACGTTGCTACAATAATCTACACAACATATTCTACATTTCTTAGACCACATTCTTGAGCAAACACAATCAAGTGTTGTGGTCGTGCTGTTGGTTGTGTAGGGCAGAGTATGGCATATAATATAAATAAAGTTGATAACTTGCGACCACGGTCGCGTTCGCCTTTGTACAAGGGCGGTTTAACAATAGTGTCATTGGTCATTGCATGATGCTTATTTCGCGAGGAGTTGTATGTGTGATATCATAATCCTAAAAATATACCGTCAAACAACACTTAGTATTTTTTACATTTCTATTAACCGTAGTAACGCCAAATTAAATCACATTTTTTTATTATATTGACAGATTTTTATTTATTTCCTTTAGTAATTCTAATATTATAAAATATTCTCAACTTTCTCTACTTTATGGATCCTTGACTCTCTATATATTTGTATATTTCTATAACGTTACTCTTATACATATGTTATGGTATATAAAAACGACCCTACTTACGACCACCTTATTTTTATATACAGATACTTGATTGAGCCCTGGGATGTAAAATGTATATTATATTGTGAATTATCTTATAAATTATTTCTTTGAATCTTTTGAATTAAACGCTATGTTAGTATTGCGAATGTTACGTTCAGCTCAATATATAATCTCTAAGCCTGAAATTTTCATTAAACTTTCCCCTAAGCACTCTGGGGAAAACAATGTGAAACATATATATATATAAAATATTGTACAGTAAAACTAAGCCAATGAATTAAAATAATACGTATAATATTTTAGAGTACGAAGCTTTTAACATTCTCTGATGATCCCATACCTTTTCACTCTATCACATATACCTTATGGACTACTTATATCACTGCTACCAACTGATAATATACATTACAAAATATTTTTTTATATTTCCAAATTGGAAACTTGTTTGTTGATTTATCTTAATTTAACTTTATCTACTTTTGTAATTTTTTAATTACTAATTATATTTAATTTTAAACAATTTATACATATTATAATAAATGTATTACGCCAATGAAACAAAAACTAATAAAATGTGCATCAATACATAGTTTAAATTTGTGAACTATATGTATACTAGCGGCTCACCCTCGCTTCGCTCGGGTTCGTCGCTAGGTACGTTTTAAATAGATATAAAAAGAAAAAATCTTTCTTTCTCACATTTTAATTATATGTTTTAATACTTACCTATTCCGGACTAAGAGAAATCCAAAAATTAAAATATCATAAAAATTGGAACGCGGTCGAACGGGATAAAAAGTATCCTATGTCCTTCTCCTGGCTCTAAACTACCTCCCTGCCAATTTTCAGCTAAATCGGTTCAGCCGTTCTTGAGTTATAAGCGAAGTAACTAACACGACTTTCTTTTATATATATAGATAATTTAAATTTATGAGTTAGCTTTTTTTTAATTTTCTTTGTGATTTGTTTAGCTAATTTTACTTTAGATAATTAGTTAATAGCTTTTTTTTTGCGAATGACTTAATTAGCAATTCATGGACCAATGGTATTTTTCCCATTAACACTATATAAAATGAAAACATCAAGAATTGTATTAAAACAAATTTATTTTTAGTTCATTCCTTTAATCTAGATATCCTTACGTCCACGTACTATAGTATATTGTCTTTAATAGCGAATAAATTTATTAGAATATAGGCATTGTCGAAATATTATTTTAATAGGATTTGCTCACGAATGCGCGCGAGAATGTCTGTCTATCCCAAATATTCATAGCGAAAACATTATGTATGTAAAAATGTCAATATAGCTGCGCTGCGCGTTATGTTATGTGTTTTTTTTAAATGATGTATCAAAGCTTCCTGTAATACGTATTTTATTACATATGTACTGAATTACCAATGCAGATGGAAAATGTAATTAGAAATGGTGGCTTTTGAGATTTAATTTTTTAAATAATAATTCTGACAGTTATAATACATGTAAAATGTTATAATGAATTTTGTTGTTTGCGGCCTATAACGCCATTTTAAAGCCATTTATAATCTTTATGTGCACGAATTATGTGTATAACCACTACTACGAATTATAATTTATGAGACTCGATAATATTTATCATTAATATTTTGTTCACATTGCTTAATATAAAAGTACACCAAAAAGTAGATTGAAGGAAATCTACAATGTTGACTACATAAATCATAACAGAAAACAACTTTTAAAATATCGTAAGGTCAAATATGACTCATGCCGTTCATGCCTACACTTAAAAGGCTTACGCAGTAAGCTAATAAAATTTGTGTTCAAACATTAAGTAACAATTATATTTTAATTCGATTTATCTATTAAAGTAATAAAATTGTTATTTAAGAATATTTATATAAAAAATTTTGGGGATTTAGAGCATGTAATATCACTAATATTGTTCAAGCCACCCATTGCGCGACTTATAGTCTTGATGCAGGTAAAAATAAAAGTTGTCTCTAACCTATAATAATAATACAGGGCCAACGTGATTTTTAAAGAGTGAAGGTGTATATTTTTGTGAATGTTATGAGATTTTCGTATATTTTATTACTCGATTTCGATATTTTAGTTTTTCTAGAAGTGGCTATATTATATCGAGGGTGACTTCAAATAAAAATTAAGATAAGGGTCTATCCATTTTATTATCCAAACCAAAATCTTTTACGGAGAGAGTTCGAGACTTTGAACCGAATTCGTACACATTGTTGTAGAAACCGATAAAAACAAATGAAATATATAAAAAAGCTGGTGAAGTTAGTACTTTGGAATTTTTTGGGGTCATTGTACCCAATTTATTATACGTAGAATATTTAAATCAAACTGTTTAAATTCAAACAACTTCAATTGAAGATGGCCAAAAATAAATTGAAGACTTAACCAATTTAATTTATTCAGGCTATATTTAACATACTATATATCTATATCTTTAAGGTATGGATATCTAGATATGTTTGTATGTTCTGTATGCTACTTTTGTGTGGGTTAGATGATACCAAAAGATTACAGAAAAGGGATTTTGCAGGTACCATAACAGTTTACATTATTTTATTTTTTCTTTCTATGATATGCAAAAAGCTTATGGGAACCGTTTTGTAACATAATATTCATGTTAAGTTACCTATCTGGTAAAATAAAATAAAACAAAGTAAAATGAAATAAAAAGGTGAAATTTGGGGTAATTTTGATGATTTAATATCGCTATTTTTAAATAACATATTTGAAATTTCTTTCTCATTAATTTAATTTCAGATTCTATTTAGATAATTTGCATTATCTACATAATTTGCATTATCTACGATCTAAGTTTAAGTTTCTACTTAATATTATTAGACTTTTATAGTATACATAATAATATATTGAAATCTTCAAAAAATCTTCCTACAATACTACCATCGTTGCCAAATCTAACACTGACAAAATATTTTTTTTTATTCCGATTTATTTACAACTATTTGTAATTTGAATTGAATTCTTTTGTTTTCCTTTTTCGAGTTTACAATTGCCTATGATTTTTTTATTATTCACATTGTAATTAATCCGATGCACACTTGAGATCTATTTTCTTTATCAAGAAAACATTCTTCTCCGTAGTCACAGTCTTAACAAAGTAGTCGTGGTCATCATTGTAGGTGTTGTAACCCGCTTGACAATTCGCCTCGACCTCTCTATACTCTATAGGAAGTGAGAAAGATGACGATTACGCCATCTGCTGGAAAAAAAAACAAATTGATAGTAAACAGTATTAGTATTGCATTATCAACGTTTTTAATTAAATATTTTTTGTTTATTAAAATAAGTGTTTGTGATGTCTTCATCAAAAGTATCTTGCTGTATTCGTGGCTGTTCAAATATGCAGTATAAAAATAATACGCAGTTGAAATTTTAGTTTCCCCGAAAGTTCATTGAACACTACGTGCATAACCTTCAAACGTCAAAAATGGATAAACGTAGTAAAAAACCACGTGTAAGTAAGTCTTCTGATTAAAAAAAATAATTTTAATTATTATTTTGTGTTTAATCAATATGATACTACATTTGGCAGGTATTAGACGAGTTCTAAAATTATTTTCCATAAATAATAAAAGACTATTATGAAAGTAATAATAATATATTTTAATTTATTAACAGCCTCTTTAAAAATTTACTTAATATTGAAAATAATAATCAGATTTTTTTTAGTACTTCGAAATTTTTAAACACCTTTAGCTTATTTTTTTTTTATTCTGTCAAAGATTTCTATTATTTTCAATATCATATAGTTAATTTATAAAAATAATTTTTAACAATTACAATAATAATCACACTGTAAACATTAGAAACACTGGTTTGAGCGACAACAGTGCAGGTTATGACTAATAGCTTATTTTCATCGTCTATTTGAATTACATTTAAAACATGACCTGATTCAAATAATTTTTGGCATCTTTTATCATTTTGACCTACAATCCGAGCATTTTTTATCGGTAAGAAACCGAATTCTACTATTTTTTGCATTATTTAATATTTAGGCATAACTAATATTATTTATTACACTGCTTACATCGATATGTTTTTCTTATTTAACACCAGGGCGCTCTACTTTCGACAGAAGTGCTGCCC